TTTCAATATCACCTTTGGTTTTGTGTGTGGGGGGAACATTCAGATTGAACAGGCACATTCTTAAAAGTACACTCATGCTCCAAGACTATATAAACCTCAATACAGACTATAACAAAATCTAGAATATTAACTGTTAATGCTTTGTGAGTGGTGCTCCTTAGAATCTGGGTAGCAAAACAGTCTTGTGCTCATAGGCTGAGCAACATCAGATAGACCAGCAGTGAAAGGCCTGATACCTGTCTAAACTGTTCTTGCTCCAGCCTTTGCTACTAGCTTTTCTCTTCATGACAAAATTTCCTCTTTATAAAACAAATGGATATTCTTAATAAAATTATAATTTACAAACCATATTGAGCTTGGTCAGTCATTGCTAACTGTTCTTTTTGATACCTCCCTTCTTTCACTGTTACCTTATTTATATAATAACTCTCTTTATCTTTGTGTTTTCTGTCTTTTATTTCTGTCACATTTTTATTAGGGCTAAAGATGAAATCTTCCAGGCAAGATGGAGATTTAAAGATGTTCTTCGTGCTATCAGTTGTATATTCGTTTTTTTTTATTCCTCTTTGTTCTTACTACTTCATGTCTTCAGGGTAAAAGCTTTTGGGTAAGGGGAAACTATTTTTAATGTCACATATAGGAGAAATAAATCCATTTATGTAGTCCCACTTCAAGTTTCAAGTCTGCTCACAAATTCGTGTATGTAATTAAAGAAGAAATCCACCCCTGCGGCTAGAGAGTACACAAAAAAATTAAAATCAGTATTTTAATGTGCAGTGCAGTCCATCAACATTTGCTTAGTGGTTCCTTTGCAGCATCAGTTCTTTTAAAATTCATGAGTGAACAATTGAGCCATTCAGTTTGCAAAACTTAAATGGTGAGCATTTAAAATATTCAGCTAACTCTCAGCCAACTTGGGTGGAAGGAATAACATGGATGGAACCAGAATCAGTGTTGCTTCAGAAATAATAGATACTTGGCTATGTTTCTGGGATGCTTTACAAACTGTCATGCAAAGTCTATCTGGCAGGTTCAAAATATTTAGAATTGCTTTCTATTGCTGGGAGAGAAATTTTATTTTTGAGCCTGTGATAGATTTACCACTGTAGAGACATAAAAAGTTTTACATGTAAGCTTAGAATAATGTTACGAGACAGCATGTTGAGTCCCCAAATTTTATTACTTTCTGCTTTCTTAACTGCACAACATTTAGAAAACAAAAAAATAGACTAGCTAGGAACTTCTACCTGTATATCTTAAGACAGTTCAGATGAAACTGCTTTTTAATTTTTAGGGGATGGCTCAAATGTGCTCTTGTATGAATTGCAGTGCATGTGAAATTATTTCACTGGAGAATTGACCTAAGTCAAACTCTTTTCACTTTTAGACCTGTGGTATGAAATGTTACTGCCTCCCCATTTCGATTCATCAAAGAAGTACCCTCTGCTCCTTGATGTGTAAGTTTTCAATTACATGGCAATGTTGTGTTAATAATCACTTTCATCTACTTCAAATGCTCTTAATAAGATCAGGAAACACAAAAATGGCATCTTTTCTAATTACTTCTTGAAGTAGTTTTAAGACAGAATGAAAAACTGAGCTGTATCCTAATTCATGATGGATTCCTGTACCATAAAATGATGTAATGCTTAATGAGCACATACTCTTGTCAGTGGCACTGAGGCAAATACATTCTGTATCTGATTTAAAAGCCAGGATGTGTTAGCTTACCTCCTCCTCTGCTCTTCAAGATTATTAGAAATAATCTTTAATGAAGTGACATTCCAGAATGAAACCTTGAATAAGTCCTGTATCCTAAAGTAGTGTGTGTGATGTTGCATTTTCTCTGTGATATTTGACTGTCAACTAGTGTTGACAAACGTCATCCTGTGGTCAGGATTGCTTTTGCTGTTGTTTTTTCATAATTTCAAGACAGTGTTCGGTCTGTTTGTCCTCAGGCACTTCTCTTCAGGCTGGTATATTTTCTTTTTAATGGAAATTACTGACTTTTAGCTCTTCATTAAAATAGAAATGTCAAGCTTTTCCTCTTTTTACAAAAAACTGACTTGGTAAGGAAACTAACTGTTATTTGTTAGATAAATCTTTATATAATGTAACTCGGTAGCACTGTAATACTTTTTGATATGCCTGTTGTGCATTTTTAATGAGCAGCCAGCGCTCTTGGCTTCTTAAGACTTGTTTTGGTTTCGATAGAATTTTATTGACTTACCTGGACCTTCTTCAGGATCACCTCTGCTTCACGGTGATCAGAAATTCCTTCAGAAGTATCAAGACCATAGCTTGAATTAAAGAATTCTGAGTAGTTTTTTCTTTGCTTTTAAAACTGATAAGACTGGGTTATAGAGCCGTAAGAGCATTCTTCCATTTCTTCCTCTGTTGAACAGAGAAGTGCAGTGCACAGAATTTTACCACCAAGGCACTCAGAGTATGATTTCATATTGGTCAAGTGTTTCTGAAATATTTTTAATGTAAAAAATTAAAATTATAGGGTTTTTTCCTTTTTCTCAGCCTGCATAAGAAAAGGTTTAGACTGATGAGACACTAGAAATGCATGCTATTCATTTTTCCAAATGAAAGCTATTTGTTGATTTCAGAGTTAAACCAAATAAATCATGGGTGAATGGAACAGAAATAGTTAGAGAACATTACTTTGAAACTCAAGAAACAAAAGCAAATTTAGCTTGGATTTCTGATAAGCTGATTAATGTCAAAATAATGAAAGTTTCTTATTAGAGCAGACGGCAGTAAAATAGAAAAAAAAAAAAATCCAGTCTGCTTTCTTGATTGGTTGTAGTTTTAGAAAGCATACTGCTTTCAGTTCTGGTGAAGCAGCACTTTGGAGTCAGTGAGTGATGCTTTTCTTTTTTGCTCAGTTGAATTTAAAAGTTTATCCTGCTTTAGTGGCCGAAAATTGTCAGCGATAATTGTATTTCAAATGCTTGATGTGAGCGTATGTGGAGAGTAAATGCCTGAATTCTATGTCACTTTTCACCCAGATATGCAGGGCCTTGTAGTCAGAAAGTAGACTATACCTTTGAGCTCAGCTGGGCTACTTACCTTGCAAGCACCGAGCAGATCATTGTGGCCAGCTTTGACGGCAGAGGAAGTGGATACCAAGGCGATGAAATTATGCATGCAATAAACCGAAGACTGGGAACATATGAAGTGGAAGATCAGATAGCGGCAGCCAGGTGAGCTACAGGGAAAGGTCAACACCTGCTCCTTTTTCTATGTGCCTATTGTGCAGTGGGAAAAAAGGTGAGGGTTTTGAAAGGTCATCTTGAAATTACTGGCAAAAACATAAACATAACATGAATTCTGCATTAATTTTGTTCACTGAAGTGTGTCATTTATGGGCCAACCATCATTTTATGATTAAAAAGAGAGAAGAGTTAATGCTGTAATACAAATTTACTATACCTCTTATTTTATAAAGAGGATAAATGCCACATTAGTAGAAGAACATGCTACAAAGGAACTTGGAGATAGAAGTTTTACGCCAAGCTTTTTGCAAGTTTCTGTTTTGGTGAAGTTACTTGTATGAAATACTCAGCTTTTACATCATAGTTTATGTTTATCATTTGGTTTATGTTTGCAGAACGCCACTAAACCAAATAATCACAGTAGAAATCTCTCAGAAAAACAATGAAGTGATCTTACAGGGTTTTCTGTTTGGGATTTTAAAATATTAAGTAGTTTAAACAAATAGCATTTCACAATCTTTTGGATTTTTTTTTTTTAAATGGTGACTGGATTTTTAAGTGTCAGCCTGCCCCTTTCTGCTGCAATTTGATCGTTGTGCATCTTTAAAAAAAAAGAAGACAAAAAAAGGCAAGACAGGTAGTGAAATCTAACCTAATACAACACAAATGTCAGTGAGTGGCGTTTGAGGGGTTTTAAAGTGTCATATGCACAGGTATTTTTCTGAATTTCCTGAAGACACACGTACTTGAATTATTGTATGTTTTTATATGCAGTCACTGTGATGAAGTGGGAAACACTTATTTCTACAGTAGAAAGAGACAGACTTGATGGGAAATAGGCACGCCTGTAGAATGGCAGGTACTTGCAATCCATTAAGTGTTTAATTATTCTGTTTGCTTTCAGAAAATTTTCAGAAATGAGCTTTGTTGATAAGGACAGAATAGCTATTTGGGGTTGGGTAAGTAATCAAATAATTTTGGCAGACACATTATTTAATTGTAAGAGCTGTTTGTTGTGCTGTGTGTGGGGTGCTGGATCACATCTTGTGAGGCACCTCTGGAGTCACGGCACAATCCAGTAACTGAACTGATGAAGTGCATTTTACAAATGCCTGTATACAGTGCCCTTTTGCAGTCATTCAGGAGCCTTTGTAAGAGAAATTAGGACAACTAGAGGGATTTAAAACAATTTAAACGGATGCTGCCAAGTTCCTGTGTACAGGATGAACCAACACTAAAAGAAATGAAATCCAGTATGTATTCATTAGTATCTCTTTAGTTGGATGCCTAATTTAAAAAAAAAAAAAATGTGAAATTATATGTGAACCAGCTGCGTGGCTTGGTTATTGTGGTGCTTTCCAGATTTCTCTAACTTGATAGATCTTTAAAACCTGTCACAGTAGATGGAAGTGTTTAATAGCATACAGATACCCCCTCAGCTGCAAGGCTAAGTGTGTATGTAGTGTTAGTGATTCTAGTGCTGAACAGTCTTCTATCCCAGGCTGATGTTTCACTGCTTTTTTTGGTTCACAGGGGGAATTCTTGCATGTTCTGTTTAAGCATACTGTGTTTAAGTATACGCAGGATTGTATGCAGGATCTTGAATTAAATTGCTGACTGAAATTTGGGCACTGCTGATGACAGGCACCAGTGAATAAATTGCTCGATGGCAAAATGATGATGAGATGCCTTTAGCAGCTTTTCTTCTGGGTGTAAACACCTCTGTTATATGAATTCATGTGTAGTAGTATTAATTGTAGTGGGAGAAAAATTCTTTCTGCAGAAATGGAGGACAATGCATTTGCATCTTGAGTCCTTATGAGCCTCAGGATGAACAGTTGAAGAGCATTCATCTTTGGACCTGGGATTATGCTCTCAGACTGCTGAACCTGTGGGCAAACAGATTTTCTTTATCTCTTGAGTTTTCAGATTGTCAGCCTCTCATTGTCAGCCTGTCACTATGTACATTAATTTTGTTTGCCACAGATTCAACAGTACTATCTTTACTGTGAGTAGTTTAGGCATTTATACAGGAGTTTAATTACTAAGTGCATGTGTTACTTTGCTGATCTCATTGGGTAGACCTAAGAATTAAGCTGAAGCAAACATTTAAGGATTATCAACTAAGATGCAATTCCATTTGCCTGTAATCTGGTTTCAAGACACAAATGAGATCCAAAAATTGCTCCTTTTTGAATGTGGGTGGGCACATTTTCCTAAATAGCGCCTTCAAACTATTGTGAGGGAAGTAATTTGGGCGGTTGGTGACAGTGTATAGGTATCTTGCTGCCTGGATGCTCAAGTGTGTCAGATATTTACTCATCTGTGTATCAGGCTGGACTGCAAGTAAATTTTCTGTGTGTACTGAGGAGTGTGTTGCTGCACAGTTCCTCCCACAGACTCAGTAGAAGATCCTTTGCTCCCCAGTCGCAGTCCTGCTCTTGACACTTTGCAGGGAGAGTTAGGGAGCGAGCTATCATAGGCCTGCTCCTAGGGAACTGTAAATTTTTGGATGCCCTGTTGCAACTACTCATCATGCACACTGTGGGACAGAGCTCTGCTTCCACCCACTCCCCCAGCACGGGAAGGGGCACAGCGGTTCGGCAGTGTCTTGTTTCCTGTCTTTCGCTGCTGCCTACGGTGCTACCAAACACTGTCATCCTCAGCTGAGTCACAGTTCAGCAGCGCTTGCGCCCTTTTTCCCCAACAAGTTCTCATTCATCAGTGCCACAGCTGCCATGCACTGTTTGATGCCTGTTTCCCCGACTGAGCAGGCTGGCTGAGATCTGACCCAAATTCAGAATGGAGTTCATTAATATGAAAAACGCTGAGCCTATAAATGCCTGATGAACTGTGTAGCAGATGGGCCCCATCCTTTCCTTTCCGACTAAAATAACAGCAATGTTTTCTTCTCAGTCGTATGGGGGATATGTGACCTCCATGGTGCTTGGCTCTGGAAGCGGCGTGTTCAAGTGTGGAATAGCGGTTGCCCCCGTGTCACATTGGCAATATTACGGTATGTGATGGCTTCCTCATTACAAGGATTCCCATATGTCTTGCAGTGCACACGCTGCAAAGTGTTGATTCATAGCACAGAACTTTGATTATCTACTAGATGCCATGTAAATGCCACTTGGTCTGTTTTTATGAACTCGTGGCTACTGCATTTCAAAATTAAATCAATTCGTTAAATATTAATTCCCATTTTAAAAAGTCAGATCCATAATTTCCAGCAATCTCTAACTTTTAATGAAGGCTAAATTATTGTAATATTTGTAATATTACTGTAATGTGCCTGTGTTTGCAAAGCTGCCATGTGTTCTGATACCAGTATTGTGTCAGAAATTCATCATTAGGTTTTGTGTCTTCAAAATGCAACTTTCACTTACGAGAATGAACTGTGAGGATTAGCACTGAACTTGCATTGTAATTTACTCTCTGAAAGTAACAGAATAGGATTCGAAGCGTCTCAGCGTTTGGGGGCTTTTTGTTGTTTTAGTGTGTAAAATTTGGATTTTATAAATCTACTTCTTCTTGAGAATAGCTTGATGTGAGGAAAACATGATCAAATGGGCAAGTCTGTATGTGCTTCAAGCTGATAGTGCATAATGCTATGCTTGAGTGAGGCTACGAATACAATTATACGGACCATCCTCCCAGACTAATAAAAATATATACATATAGTTGTAAATACGTGCTGGTACAATAGGACCACATTTTGACATTTTTTTGGTTTGGATTTGTCCAAAAGCATTCGAGAGAAAGCTTTCCCTGGCAAACCTCTGCTAAATAAGGCATAATTTGTCATTGTGCAACTAGCGCCGAGATTGAGCAGATTCAGCAGATCAAATCATACTGTCAGGTATTAGCAGTAGTCTGTTGAGGGCATAATGATTCTTCATATTTTGGACATTAATGTTATAGTATGACAGAAAATAGTTTTTCATGGTCAGGATCTCTCAAATTCCACTTTTAGTTGATTAGATGAAGGATTATGGAGGCATGCATATTCAGCATGAAAAAACCTCCAGTGTGACAACTCTGATAAGAAGTCAAACGGGCATTAGATTATGGCACCAGAGCTTTGATTATTTGGCTTAAAACAGAACAGCAATCTACAAAATGTAACGTGGTGAAAAATCCATGGAAAATCAGAGATACTTAATTTTTACTGTGTATAACAGAGCCAAGGTGAATCCTAACTTACTACTACAATTTCATTTTATATATTTTTGGTAGTTAACATTTAGATAAAAAAGCTAAGATTTTTTTTTCCAAATCTAGTTATTTACTGCAACATTTTCAGTAATTTTTTAAGCATTACTGAAAGAATAACAATAGAGAAACACACAAAGTACTATATTAATATTCAGCATTCAGGTGTCCATGGCAACAAGAAGATTAAATATTCTGAATAATGATGGTTACCTACATGCCTCATTGTGGAAAACCTGGTTACTTTAATTTCATGGGTTTTTTTTTTTAGTTTCCAGTATGCATTGTTACTGTTTGTATTGGTAAAATTTATGGTAGACAGACTGAAAGTTAAGTAGCAGATTCTGTTTTTTTTTCTTAATTACAGATTCAATATACACAGAGAGATACATGGGCCTTCCTACAGCAAGTGATAATCTGAACAACTATAATGTAAGAAAGAAATCACTTTATTTTGTTCTTTAGTGTTTTGTCTAATTTCTAAATAACAGTATTCTTCTTTGAACAGTTTAGTTCCTTCCCCATGGGAAGCAATAAGTTTGTTTCTTCTTTCCAACTAGAACTGTTGCATTGTGCATTTAGAGGCTGTAGTCTCATGTGTTTGGATTTTTATGAGGCAGCTTCTTGATGGATGCTGTGGGTTTTCTG